AGAAGAAGAAGAAGAAGAAGAAGAAGAAGAAGAAGAAGAAGAAGAAGAAGAAGAAGAAGAAGAAGAAGAAGATACCCTTTGCAGAACCCACTTTGCCCCCCAAACTCACCTCGGTTCCCAGATCCCGCTGAATGGGAATGAAACCTGGCACGGAAGGACGGACTGGAGGAAGGAACCGGCGACCTCTTTCTTTTGGCACCAGCCCAGCTCGGAGGGGGCGCCCTCGAAAGCTGCCCTTTTTAACCTTTTGCTCGCCCCCCCTTCTTCCCCCGCCCCGCCCCCTTTGGAAAGCTCCAGTTCAAGGTGAGATCGCAGCTTTTCAGGAGGTGGGAAAAGCTGGGCGCGACCTCAGCCAGACCTTTGAAAGGGGCGGGAAAGCCATTCTCATGATAAAGGGAAGCAAGAGGGGATATTAAGGGAGAAAAGATTTGGGAAATAGGTCTGGGGGTTTGCCTGGGGCGGAGCGACAGGGCCGGTTCAACACGTCCTCCGCACCGCCGATTTCACTGATTGATTGATTGATTTTTGCCCCGTTTTTCCTGTGCCAACTCAAGGTACCAGATAGGTTGGGTAGACAGAGCGAGGCTGGGTCAAAATCACCTAAAGACTCGTGTTACTCCACTGGCATGATCAGTGGTGTTTGCAAACCATGGTTTAGGATTTAATGCGTTTGACCAAGCCACCCCATGGTGATCATGGTTAACTGCTATAATTAACTGCTGTATTCAGGTGGAACTCGAATGGATGCCAGCCCCCGCCCTACATATCTCGCTTTATTCCTGGAAAGCTCCCCCTTGACTGGGAATGATGGGTGTTTGATTCCAAAATGTATATCAGGAACGCTGTTAGAGAGTTTGCATTTTACAGCTGGAAGGACTTTTAATTCCTCAGGGCAAGAATTGTGGAGACACATGGCCTGCGTTTGTGCAAGATTTCCCCTGGTTACTGAATGAAGACATTTTCTGGGATTTGCATTTTATATTGAACCGTAAACTAATATTACGAATGGGCCGGATTCACACAAACGCAAACCCGCTAAAAACAAAAACCTGAGTAGATTAACTAAGCTTCCCTAAGGTGGCTTTTGGGTTGTATCAGATCTCTTGAGCTGAGTTCACACAACACACTAGACTAGGAAAAATGAAGGTGTAATAACTCCATCAGGATGGATGATTGAAGTTATGTTATGGCAATAAGCTATCATATTTCCTTGGGTATATCATGTTGTGTGAATATAAGCAGGACTAGTATTTGGTTAGGTCAGATAAGGTGTATTGTGTGCTGTATAAACCTGAGAATTTTTAATGTAAGTGTGAGTGTATATAAAGCAGTGTTTCTCAACCTTGGCGACTTGAAGACGTGTGGACTT